CCCCAAAACCCCAAAACCCCATGGTTGTTAAATAACTATATAGTGTGGATATAAATAAATTTTTGATGAAATTGATCAAAATATGCTTCAAAGGAAATAAAACTTACTAACTTCTATAAATATCAAAATTATTCTGCTAAAAGCATTGCTTCGAGTCCATCTAAAGTAGGATTTTCTCTAATAATATAAACAGGTATCTTTTCTAAGACTGATGCTTTCATTGGACTGTCAATTAAGAAATGTTTCAAAAATAGGCTTTATGGTTATTTTTCTTTTTCATCCACATCATTACTGTTTGCTTATTTTTTATCAGCTTTTCTGTCTTTTATATAATCACAGAGATAATTTGCAACTCCTCCACTGATATATATACCACCCATTGGTAATGTTGCTAACGCAAGTTTAGCTAGGCAATTACCAATTATTTCAATCAAGAAATCGATTGTCTATTGACATAGTTCGTCATTTTCACTCTTGGCTCATCTTGTAATGTCAACCTAGTGATCGGCTGGTCTGTTAGATTATAAATCTATTTTGTTTTAGTTCCTCATATCTTTACTTCTCTCTTATTTTGGTTGATAGGATTTTATAAACTGATGCAGAATTGATACCCCATTCCCACAGCATAATCTATTAATCCCACTAACTGAGTTCATTTTAATTCTTAATGCTTATTATCTCTCATTTTACTCGTCTGCACTGCATATCTTGCCCCAACCTTCTGAAGATAATGCAAAACTTTTGAAGGAATTTCCATTTGGATATGGTAAAATAGTAGCCATACCTAAGCCTGTCCCCATACTGAATAATAATTTCACTTTTGTACTTTAATTTGCCACATTATAAGTTATATCATCTCTAAGTTAAACGAATAAATCTCTATTTTTTTTAGAGAGTCTTTCTTATGCAATAATACTGTAAGCCATTCCTTCAGCATCATTCATAAATCTAACTCTCGTTTCTTAATAATGATCTTTAATCTTCATTACTGTTTCATCCTTCCACCTTCCAACTCCATAAAATGTTTCATCTTAGCATCCAGACTGTGCAATGATTATTGCTTTTAATTATTTCTTGCTTATCTATAGATAAAAAATAATGACCAATTTTTTTTATACTTTTGAAGTTTCAAGAAGATTATCAATATGATATATATAGCTTTAATAGTCTTTTGTTGAAATTTTGATTTCACTAACTTTTTCATAGGACACTGGATTGCCTTGCTCTAAAATTTCTTTCGATAGTCTTAATCTGAAATTAGTACCTCCAATATCACCAACAACTATATATTTGTCAAGCTGTTCATCTAATTTTTCTGCTTAATTCATTTTTACAAATATTATTAATAATCATGATTCAATACTTTTATTCATAAGAAGGGGTTTTGGGGTTTTGGGGTTTTGGGGTTTTGGGG